AAATGCAACAAACACTTTCGATGCGCATTTTGTATCTTTTGCTCTATACGACCAATTAATTAATGTCGCGTCGTTCTCTCCTTCATATCCTCTATATTTTTATTAAACCGTGTGGGAACGGGCCGCGGGCGGGCCGGCGGGTTCGGTGACCGATGTGATGAACATATTTAACTCATCCCCAGAGGTTTAAACGGGATTCTTGTTTTTCCTTCTCGGGTGAATATGTGACGTAGACAGAGGGAGGGAAACCGTGTGTGTGTGAGAGGGGGAGGGGCTCGTTTTCAAATTCCCCGCGGTTGTGGCCGTCCCTTCCCCCAACCACCTCCGGAAGACCGTCCCGGGCCCGGGCCAACCTCCCCTGCTGAACTCGCCCCTCGCCCGAGCCGTGCTCCTGACGGGTCTCCGAGGTGCAATCCAGACATTACGCTACAACTACCGCCCCCACCGCTGATTGCCATGCAGTACACTGCCATAGTGACCCCCGGGCGAACACGCGTGCAGTGAACAGCCTAACGCTTTCGGGAGATGGTACCGTAGTTTCTATATGCACTTGAATCGAGATCTTGGACTGTCTTACGGTTATTTTACTGTTTGAAAACGTCCCTCGACTTGTTTGCCAGATGCTTTCATGCCAGGTGTTTTCAGCCAATGCACATTAACACACCACAACGACTTAAAGGTTCCCAACGATATCATGAAACGACATTTTGGGGTCGCTGAAAGTAAAGCGCTGATGCCAGTTTACGTTTCTTGCTGCAGATATCACTTGTCTTTTATTTTCAATTGATTAAGTTGCTGATCAGCACCACTCCTAACCTCGTATGCTCTGCTCTGTTTGCAGGCCCTGGCGCGGACGCTCTGCGGGACGTCCGCATGCGCGTGGAGCCGTCCGCTGTGGAGGCGGGCAGCCCGGCCACCGTCAAGTGCGAGTACGACCTGGAGAACCAGAAGCTCTACTCGGTCAAGTTCTACCGCGGCAGCCACGAGTTCTACCGCTATTCGGCCGAGGACGAGCCGCACACGAAGGTGTTCCCTTTCCCCCAGGGGCTACCCTCCAGCCCTGTCAACGTGAGTACCACCGCTTCAACTCTCGCCCCCTCCCCCCTACCTTCACCCACGTATCCTTTTGCCCCTTGCTTGTTCGCGCCCCAAGTTTTTCCAGCACCTCCAGCGCAGCTATTCCCCGAATACTTTTCCCCCGGTCTGCCATGCCTAACGAGATCAACTTTGGGACGCGTCAGCGCTGGAGGTGGTCGAGGCGCTGCTGGGGGCGCAGTGCTCCGTGGAGACGATGCGAATCATTAGCTGCACTTCTCACTGAAATCTGAAAGCCACTGTACGCTCCTGCTCTCTGGCTCTTTCTGCTGGATTCGCCCCAGACGAAACATTACCCCACCCCCCTCCCCCAATTTCGTCTCGATAATGAAATACCCGGAGAGTTTTCACGCCTTCGGGGACAGACGGGATGCGAGAACATGTGTGGAGCGGTGTGGGCCTCTGAAGTGGGGCTCGTGAGGGGCTCCTGCCCCCCCCCCCCCCGGGGTCTGCGGGGGCCTCGCGGGCCCATCCAAGTTGCTCTTGTCTTCGCCGGGGCTGAGCGGCCCGCTGGCGGGCGGGGGCCACTTGAAGGTATCGCGGGGGGAGAATCGCTGTATCAGATAGGAGCCGAAGGGTTAGTGCCCCTGCGATCGCTGCCGGCTGCTGCTGCTGCTGTTGCCGGTTGGATAGGGGAGTAGAAAGAGGAAAAGGGGGTGCCGACTGGAGTAAGAGAAAGTAGTAGGAATAAGGAGGCAAGGGAGAGAAGACGAAGAAAATAAAAAAAACAACACGATGAGCTGAGCCCTTCCCTTACCTCCCCGTGCCTCTGATGGCTGCTCCTCGCAACATGTGTATCTTTCCCTCCCCTCAATTAACTCCCACGCCCTTGTCCCATCCCG